CTGTTTTTTTAATTTGAATGAAGCATCCATCAAATCGTGAATTGAATTAGGTAGAAATATATTTTCTTCAAATGATCCTTACCGATAGATTGCAAATTTATTATTTTCTCTTCTTTGTTTATGCAACAATTTTTAAATTTGGAGTTAAGAATGTTATTCTTTAAAATTCTTTAAGGTTAGAATCTTCCCAAACATTTATAGTCATTTATTTTTTCACTCTATTATCTTGACATTAAGAATGATCTCATGTAATTGTGTAAGTACGAATTTATATTAATATATATTAAATATCAAAGACTTGGATTTGGACTTGGACTTGGCGCTAGGGCTTGGATCGGACCTTAAAATAAATATTTTTATAAAGCTTAAATATATACTCTATAAATAACAATGATTTTACAAATAAGAATAGTATATATATCTGTAGTTTGATACAAACGGTACAAAATAGGTCAAAAATTAAAGTGACCAAGAGAAAAATAACACAAGATAGAGATAATGATAGTTTATGTACACTCAATATTAATATTGTGATCATCATTTTTGAGAAATCTTTCCACAATATCTAGGCATGGTTGCAAAACAGTATTCCTCCATGCTTCGTCAACAACTTCTTTTCTATCTTCTTTGAAAACGTCAGTAGCAATAATATGATTCACCGACCACATTTTCTCATTTATTAATCGTTGAATCTTGTCAAGTTGGTTACAAATTAACATACGAGTATTACGCTTGATACTTGAAATTGAAGCTTGAAGAATCATCTTCTTTGACTCATCATCTCCGTCTATATTTTTTTCTTCCCTTAAAATTTGGCCATTTCAGGGAAACCAATGGACCGTTGGATTCCTTTGGTGTAATCTGCATCTGGAATGTAAAATTGGCGCACCTCATCCACCAGCCCTGCATGCAGCATAAATTTAAGAATAGTTTTATTTAGGTGAACATATATTTGAAAATCGAAAGTATTATTAAGAAAACTATATAATTTTTTTTTAGTTAGGGTCATTATTAAATTTTGATTCATATATAAAATAACTACCAAAATTACCTCCATTGACCATTTCATCAACCCACGTGTCAACTCTACGGTTCAAGACTGATTGCTCTACATCAATCCAAATAAAGCAACTGTCATACTTATGTTTGAACATGAATACAGGGTCTTCCACAAGTTTTTCAATAAACGAATTTGACCCTCCAACAATAATTGGAACACATTGAGTCTTCAAAAAAATTTCTATGTATTCAATGTACTTTGGAGTTAAGAATGTTATTCTTTAAAATTCTTTAAGGTTAGAATCTTCCCAAACATTTATAGTCATTTATTTTTTCACTCTATTATCTTGACATTAAGAATGATCTCATGTAATTTTTTTTAGTACGAATTTATATTAATATATATTAAATATCAAAGACTTGGATTTGGACTTGGACTTGGCGCTTGGGCTTGGATCGGACCTTAAAATAAATATTTTTATAAAGCTTAAATATATATTCTATAAATAACAATGATTTTACAAATAAGAATACTATATATAGCAGTAGTTTGATACAAACAGTACAAAATAGGTCAAAAATTAATGTGACCAAGAGAAAAATAACACAAGATAGAGATAATGACAGTTTATGTACACTTAATACTAATATTGTGATCATCATTTTTGAGAATCTTTCCACAATATCTAGGCATGGTTGCAAAACAATATTCCTCCATGCTTCGTCAACAACTTCTTTTATATCTTCTTTGAAAACGTCAGTAGCAATAATATGATGCACGGACCACATTTTCTCATTTATTAATCGTTGAATCTTGTCAAGTTGGTTACAAATTAATATACGAGTATTACGCTTGATACTTGAAATTGAAGATTGAATAATCATCTTCTTTGTTTCATCATCTCCGTCTATATTTTTTACTTCCCTTAAATATTTGGCCATTTTAGGGACACCAATGGACCGTCGGATTCCTTTGGTATAATCTGCATCTGGAATGTAAAATTGCCGCACCTCATCCACTAGCCCTGCATGCAACAGAAATTTAAGAATAGTTTTATTCAGGTGAACATATATTTGAAAACCGAAATTATTACTAAGAAACTATAGAAGAAAAGTTTTAGTTAGAGTCATTATTATATTTTGATTCATATATAAAATAACTACAAAAACTACCTGCATTGACCATTTCATCAACCCTCGTGTCAATTCTACGGTTCAAGACTGATTGCTCTACATCAATCCAAATAAAGCAACTGTCATACTTATGTTTGAACATGAATACAGGGTCTTCCACAAGTTTTTCAATAAACGAATTTGACCCACCAATAATAATTGGAACACATTGAGTCTTCCAAAAAAAAATTATGTATTCAATGAAGTTCAGACAAAAATCTTCGGCCGTGAAGTTGTAATCTAGCTCAATTTCACCTAAAAAATTGTGAAACAAAATAATTGCCAATTAATATTCACATTAAAATAAAGGAATCACAAAAAATGTCTTTTTCAAATATGTATACCTAGCAAATAGTGTCGTACACCTTGTTTCTCAGCGTATGTGATCTTGTTGTTCACTATTTCAAGTCCTTTATAAACTTGCATATGGTCCGAGTTGATTATTTCTCCTCGAAAATGGGTGGCAAAGTCAACAGAGACAGGAGATTTTTCCGTTCCTGTTGTTCCCATTATGAACACCACTTTCTTGTTGTTGAACTTGTTGTTTTTGATGATGAAAGTATTCATTTTACCTACACATAAAAATAAAATTATAACAATAATTAGTTTTAAATAGTAAATAATCTCATGAAAACCACTCATGCATACACTCATACATTAAAAAATCTTATAAATATAAGGTTAATAAGTAGAAACCTTGCTTGAGATGTAATAAACTATGTAAAACAATTATAGAAAACTATTTCAATTACAATTATTTATATTTCGTTGTGCTGCATGTAATAATAGATAACTGTTTTATTGAATGAAGCATCCATCATCGTGATTGAATTAGGTAGAATATATAAGAAAAGTTTTTTAGAGTCATTATTATATTTTGATTCATATATAAAATAACTACAAAATCTACCTGCATTGACCATTTCATCAACCCTAGTGTCAACTCTACGGTTCAAGACTGATTGCTCTACATCAATCCAAATAAAGCAACCGTCATACTTATGTTTGAACATGAATACAGGGTATTCCACAGGTTTTTCAATAAACGAATTTGACCCCCAACAATAATTGGAACACATTGAGTCTTCAATTTTTTTTTTATGTATTCAACGAAGTTCAGACAGAAATCTTTAGCCGTGAAGTTGGAATCTGGCTCAATATCGCCTAAAAATTTGTGAAACAAAATAATTGCCAATTAATATTCACATTAAAATAAAGGAATCACAAAAAATGTCTTTTCCAAATATGTATACCTAGCAAATAGTGTCGTATACCTTGTTTCTCAGCGTGTGTGATCTTGTTGGTCACTATTTCAAGTACCCATTCCTGTTGCTCCCATTATAAACACCACTTTCTTTTTGTTGAACTTGTTGTTGTTGATGATGAAAGTATTCATTTTAGCTACGCATAAAATAAAATTATAATAATAATTTGTTTAAAATAGTAAATAATCTCATGAAAACCACTCACGCATACACTCATACATTAAAAAATCTTTTAAATATAAGGTTAATAAGTAGAAACCTTGCTTGAGATGTAAATGTAAAATAATATATTTTTCTTGATGGTGGTTATGAAAGAGATTGCATTGAGCATTTATAGTAAAATGTATTTGTGGACATATTAATTATCATACCATATTCAGAAATAATGATATCTTTTAGGATAAGTTCGATGACTTTTGAAAAATGTATCGATATGTCAACTTGAATTTTGGTAAATGACAAGTAAATAATTTTAGGATAAACTTAAAAATGTACATTGTTTGGAGATCGCATATAACTGGGTAATTATAGTAAAAATGTGATTATGAACTTATGAATTGGCATATACCAAATTAAAAAAAAAACATATCTTATAGGATAAGAATAATTCTTGTAAAAAGCCTACAGATACGTCAGCTTGAATTTCGGTGATTAGGCTTAAATAATTTTAGGATGAAGTTTCTAGATGCACATTGTTATGAGATCACATACAAGATTGACGAAAATATGGATTTCAAAAGGATTGTAAAAAGAACTCAACAATATTTCTGAAGGAATACATTCAAGTGATAATGCGTCAATTCATACACTCTTTAACAACACGTCATAAGTGCTAAGTCTAATTCAATTAGAAGGGAAGTAACAATTATCGATAATGATTTCAATTACAAGTATTTATATTTACTTGTGCAGCATGTAATAATAGATAGATGTTTTATTGAATGAAGCATCCATCATCGTGATTGAATTAGGTAGAATATATTTCCTTAAATGATCCTTACCGATATATTGCAAATTTATTATTTTCTCTTCTTTGTCTATGCAACAATTTTAAATTTGGAGTTAAGAATGTTATTCTTTAAGGTTAGAATCTTCCCAAACATTTATAGTCATTTATTTTTTCACTCTATTACTTGACATTAAGAATGATCTCATGTAATTGTGTAAGTACGAATTTATATTAATATATATTAAATATCAAAGACTTGGATTGGACTTGGACTTGGTGCTAAGGGGTTGGATCGGACCTTAAAATAAATATTTTTATAAAGCTTAAATATATACTCTATAAATAACAATGATTTTACAAATAAGAATACTATATATATTTGTAGTTTGATACAAACTGTACAAAATAGGTCAAAAATTAAAGTGACCAAGAGAAAAAATAACACAAGATAGAGATAATGATAGTTTATGTACACTTAATACTAATATTGTGATCATCATTTTTGAGAAATCTTTCCACAATATGTAGGCATGTTGCAAAACAGTATTCCTCCATGCTTCGTCAACAACTGCTTTTCTATCTTCTTTGAAAACGTCAGTAGCAATAATATGATGCACGACCACATTTTCTCATTTATTAATCGTTGAATCTTGTCAAGTTGGTTGCAAATTAATATACGAGTATTGCGCTTGATACTTGAAATTGAAGCTTGAAGAATCGTCTTCTTTGATTCATCATCTCCGTCTATATTTTTTTCTTCCCTTGAAAATTTTACCATATTTGGGACACCAATGGACCGTCGGATTTCTTTGGTGTTATCTGCATCTGGAATGGAAATTTGCCGCACCTCATCCACTAGCCCTGCATAAAACATAAATTTAAGAATAGTTTTATTTAGGTGAACATATATTTGAGAAGCAAAAGTATTATTAAGAAAACTATATAAGAAAATTTTTAATTACAGTCATTATTATATTTTGATTCATATATAAAATAACTACAAAAACTACATGCGTTGACCATTTCATCAACCCTCGTGTCAACACTACGGTTCAAGACCGATTGCTCTACATCAATCCAAATAAAGAAACTGTCATACTTATGTTTGAACATGAATACATGGTCTTCCACTATAATTACCCGAACCCGAAAGGTCATATTTGATAATTTTGAATAGTCATTTAACTACAATTAATTAATTTGTGGGTGATTTGTTTAATGTTAAAAATAATGGGCCAAGCCTGAAATATTAAAATAGAGTAGTAGGAAATTATTATTGTTAATACATAGTTAATTTCGAAACAAAATAAAAAAAAGAATAAGAGGAGGAGCAGAAAACTAACCTGCGTGCGGCGTGAACACGGATCAATAGAGGGCAAACTGCTTCATGTAAGGAAAATTCAACTGATGCTTTCAAATTCTGCTTGCATTAATTTCTTTTCTATCCTTTCATTAATTGTTGCACCTATATATAAATATATAATAACATTATATATCTATTTGGTTATATATAGAACGATAATTAGTGGTTGCCATTTTAGCTCTTAAAATCTAAACAACAAATTTATTTACGGGTTGTTACTTTTGATAACTCTAGAATAAGTTGTTATTGGGTACTGATTAATAATTATGGGATAATGTTTGGAATACGGATGAATGGTGGTTTGGTTAGCGACTTAAGCTATGGGTTTGTCACTAATTTTAAGGTTCTTTTAACTCATAAATCAAGTTTTAATAATATTGGTATTTGATTGTAGATTTGAGTGATGTTTTTGGGTCTAGATTAGACCTATAGTAATATGAGTGTTGTTAGTTTTGGAAGCTTATTGTGATTATTTATTTGAATAGATTGTATTTATTTGGAAGTCCAACGAAAGAGAAAGGCTCAAGTCACGGAGTGATTGTTCGACTATATGAGGCAAGTAGATTTCTAAACCCTTGTTAAGTGTATGGAATTCATGTATTTCCTTGTAATATGTGTTTAGGGTAATGAGACTTGGTGATTGGTTGACTTGTCCACATTTATTAATTCTAATGATGAGAAAAGGGATAATAAAAGGCAATGTGATCAATAGTTTGTGTGATGTGTTGATAATTATTTGAAAGGCTTGTTGAATCATTGTTGATGATGTATCCTGATTGTGTTGTTGTGAATTGTGCAATGTTATGAAAATGGTCTACTCTTCATTATTTGTGTGAACATGTCATTTGTATTGTTCTGAGACATAGTTGTGACAAATGTTATTTGCATTGAGAAAGAATAAGAAAATAAAGAGGATGTACAATTTTGAGGGACGTATCGCGCGTCGCGATGGATACTATGTTTCGAGGGATGTGTCGTGCGCCGTGATGGATACTATATTTTGAGAGACGTATCGCGCACCGCGATGGTTACTATTATCGAGGGTCGTATCGCACGCCGCGATAGATCCATGGACATATTGTCCCCCATGGGTCCCAGACTGAGAGATAGCGGGTGTGTACCATTAGGTCAGACATGCATCACTATACTTGACATTGCATTTCATTTCATTGCACTTCTTTATGATTGGTGAACTTGATCTTGTGTGTTGCTGATCTTGTGAGTCCTTTTCCTTGGAACTTGTGACTGATGAATATTGAACTTGTTGTTGAAGATATGCAATTGTTAGAGTGTTGTTGTTGAGGATATGATACTTTTGTTGTTGTTAAGGATATGAAATTGTTAGAGTGTTGTGTTGAGCTATGTGCTTTGTAAACTGTGAATTGTTATGTTGGGTTGGTTTTAAGCAGTTGTAGTTGTGGAGGTTGTAATTGATGAATATTGAGCTTATTGTTGAGAATATATGATTGTTAGAATATTGTTGTTGAGATATGTGCTTGTAAATTGTGAACTGTTAGGTTGGGTTGGTTGTATACAGATTGTAGTTGTGAAGGTTCGGTTGGGGTGTAAGGAGTACTCCTATTCTATCCCCTTAGCTCGTGTTTAGAGGTTTAGTTGCTGAGTACTGTGTGGTATGGTACTCACCCCTTTCTTCTACAAATTTTTGTAGGTTACGAGGCTGAATTTTTGTGGTACTTGTCATTCTCTTCTTTTCCAAGGCTTCTTGTGGAGGTTTGTGAGGTAGATGCTTGTCATTTCAGCGGACCTTCTTACTCTTATTTATGAACTTGTTCTATTCTAGAAACAATGTCATTTTAGACTTGTGTTTTCTTTTGAATCAATTGTAATACTTTAGAGGCTTATACACGTGACAACCAGATTTTGGGGGTATTTTTGAGTTGATTATAAAATTTTCGCATTTTAATGTAATGAT